CCCCCCCTCCTTAAAAACCCCCACCCCTCGACACGATTTAAATTAAAGGAGTCCAGCTGTTTTAACACAGCCTGTGAGGACCAGTCCAGGCTGAGAGGGAAAAAATGTCCAAGTAAAAAGAAAGTGATACTCGATGAAAGGTAGATCCATCCCCTCACAGGATTCAAGTCTCAAGTGCAGATAACGTCGAATGAAATTTAAATTGATTCTTTACGACAAAGTACGGGAACGTTTGGTCTATCATTTGCTTAAGAAGTGTCTGAAGAGTGTTGGAAAATGGAGTTGTTTTTTGTTTTGTTTTGCTTTTTTTGTTTGTTTTTTTCAGTTCTTTTCTTTTCTTTTGTTTTGTTTTTAAGGGTGGGGGGTCCAGATTTGGGGGGGAGGGGGGACTAGTGCTATCTGGATCTGATAGCTGGATCTGATAGTTTGTATGCTTACTGGTTGTTGTTGTCTTGTTGTTTTGTTTAGTTGAGTTGTGTTTTTGTTTTGTTGTTGTTTTGTAAATTGTTTTTCTGTAAGCTGGCTGCTTCTTTATCCATATTTCCCTCACGAACCCTTTTCTTAGGATAACTGACGCAGTAACAGCTTTTTGCTGAAACGATTCAAGTTTCCCTCAGGTCGCGTTCAGGTACGACCAGTCAATATCTGCATATTTTAAAGTTGATGTGGTATAAATCTGTTACCTCCTCGCTGGAAGAACTCTTACAGCTAAAAAAAAAAATCATTAAAATATCAGTCGTTCTTGCACAGTCATCAATCTGTGACTTGAGCGCATTTGGTTTTAGACGTGCAATCAAAAACTCTTATTGTCATACTTTGATATCTCTAGATTTGAAATGAAGCTAGCACAAATGCCGAAAAAAAAATTGAGGGGGTAACGGCCACTTCTGAGGTTTGAGGGGGGGATTTGAGGTGGGGGAGGGGGGGTTGGACCGAGCTTCTGGCTATAGGAAATACAGTCTAGCCTGCTCTTATGAATGAACACTTGTACCTTGACCATCAATGATTTATTTATAGAGGCACCAGCCATCCATGTCCAGGTGCTGTTTTAGCCTGTACACAAAAGGACAACAATCTGTATATAAGGCACTTTCCTATTTTCTTGCTTGAACATATTTTCTTTGGCTAACGCTGTGCAAGACAGTCACCTGTCTAAGTAGGCCACTTTCTCCTCGACAATGAGAGGCCATCTCAGACAGTTTCGACTGTGATTGCAGCATTCATTGACAAGGTGTGAAGGTAGCAGTGCCTCTCCTATAATACGCTTTTCACGACGTCCTTATGAAATGACAACACTGCCCCTCAACTTCCCCCTCCCCCTCCCCCTCCCCCAACCACAGTTTCTTAAGCGGAATATTGCTTGTCAGCAGATGATGATATCCCAATCTATACAAGTAGGGTGGGACTTTCTAAATGGTTTTTGAAAAATTCTAAAGTTTTAGTAATAGTTTTACTGCACTTGCCGCACTGTTCGTAAGTGTCGAAGATTATGGGTATTACAAGAAAGTAACATTCAAAGAAAGGAGGAGGAGAGTTGAGGACAATTATAGATGTGTGGCGACTAACCGTGTGTGTTGTTATGTGTAGTACGTGTGTTGTTATGTGTAGTACGTGAGTTCATGAGTGAGAGTTCAGGGAAAGTCGCAAAGTTGATCTAGTGAATGTACGAATGTCATGTCTCGTCCTGGAAGGCCTTATGTGTGTGTATTTCTCTTCATGCTACAACAGGATTATACTCGCTGTCTTTCCACGCGTTCTAATCATTTGCTGAACGAAAGGACATGTATGCTACAGATGTTTGATAGAAAAGAAGGTGAAAACCGCACCAGAGCACCCGTCAACCACCAACATTGTATACTGGAGAAAGGCTATAGTGAACGCCAGGACAGGTGGATTATAAACAATCTGAGTCTCACACCAATTCATTCTCAATCTGATCTGGAGCTTTCTTTCTTTAATTTAAGTGTTTTTCCGCTCCCATCAATACGATTTAGATAATTCAAGAGGCGGGATTCCGATCCTGTCTGTCAGGGTAAACCCAGGCTGAGAGGGATGCAATATCCCAGCAGAAATGCCAAGGCCGAAGTATACGATAAAAATGTTCTGGCCACACGCGAATCGAACTTGGGTCTCCTGCATGCGACAGCGAAGCACCAAACTGCTACACCACAGACGCCGGTTAATTAATTTGGAGAAGTGAGAGACATGACCTATTTTTGTAGCCGTCAAGTCTCCAGAAACAGGCCCAAGGTGCAAAACAAACCTCTGAATGTGCCGTAACTCAAGTGAATAAGAAAGGGATCCTGGTTATCAGATGCTTCAAGGGGACAGTTGATACCGCCTTCAGCCCCCCTCCTCGGCGCCCCATCCCCCCTCCATATTCACCTCTTCACACACACACACA